ACTGGCCTTATTTAGGAACAGGGTCCGTGCTCTTTCGAGGCCTTTGGATATAGGGCAAATTTCAGGAAATGACAAAGTATTACATTACGCTTTATACACCCCATCTTTTTCTACGCTGCTTACATTTCTGACGCAGTCGATGGCCCTCGTGGACCACACCCGCTGAGGTGATGCCCCAAGTTCATCACTGCTTTCAAATTGCATCCAGCTCTCGGTAGCGAACTGACGGTGCCGATGCTCATCTTTGCTTGAGGGAGCGTCGGGCAGTAGAGCCAGCCCCTTCCCTCGCGGCACCGAATCGCCGGAGAAACCCACGCACAACGCAAGCTTTAGATCTCGTTCCGTACCGAGTCTGTTTCTGCTGTAAGGGTCAACTCACTCGGGCGTCATCCAGGGTGGGACGAGGCTTGACAATCTTTATTTCAGCATGCGAGTATAACCAGTTCTGTGAGCTCCAACAAATGTGAATAAGTTTACAAGGTGGTTTTTTTTTTTTGTCAATTTTGTAAATGAGTTCAAATGAAGTTTACCATGTGCGTATCTGCTGTGTACTCTCATTTTTGCATGAACTCAGTTTCTCTGCTACTGGTTTCTCCTGACTGCCTTACAAAATTTATTCTTCTAATCCTAAACTCCTAAATTAATAAACTGCCATCTCTTTCTTGTCAATGGATGGCACGGAATGGCTCACCGGCAACTCTTCGGGGAATCGCCATTGCCTAAAGTGCATGTTTTCTCCAGGTACGTTAACGATGTGGAAATGTCTTTCGACAGACCGCGTGGGTGAAGCAGGCTCTAGAAGCCCCTCCCCCTTGACAGGTACTCGCCCACCTTCTAACATGGCCAGCGTTACCTATGCCTTGGGACAACTGTCTCGCTGCCTTTGAGTACGTGACCTCCGCGCGGTCGCCGCGCCGGCTGCCGCTTGGGCTTCCCGAGGTGGTCTTCAGTGGCCGCGCTGCGGTTCAGGCCTTGCCTTCCGCTTTTTACCGCTCGCGCTGTAAAACCAGATCAGAAACGAGGGGTTTGCGCCGTTCTGTCGCCCCGCGCGCTCTCCCGGGTTATCGTAACCTGTCAGGCTGCCTCTCAGCCCAGGCTACAGCGGCGCAAGCCAGCAGCGCTGAGGGGGGCTCCTGTCGGAGGAGGTAACGGGCTGGAGCCGGCGGGAGACCGGGCTCTGGGCCTTCATCTTCACTCCTGCTCTGGGGGCGGGAGCGAGAGCCT